GCCATTTCAAACTAGGCTGCACCAGCAAGCGGGAATAGCAGGCACTGGCGCCGCCACCTTACCTTCGAACAAGGATTAATGCATTTTGTGGAGAAAAAGACTGAAAAGCAAAGCACTTGTTACTGCCCTTTTCTGGTTAGGTGTATTTTTTTTTAAGGCATTAACTTCGCGTTTGAGACTGAAACAATGCTTTCATGTGACCATAGTGGAAAAACTCCAGTGTTTCCAAATATATCACTCTTCCACAGGCTCTTTTTGGAATTTTCTAAGCAACTCCAACAGTTCATCCAGTTGACTTGCTTCTAGTTGGGAGTGGCTAACCCATGAGAAGAGGGGTACCAAGATGCTGTTTAAGAGAGAGTGACTAGAGACGTCCGTGGGGCATCTCTGAAAACCAGTGGGCAGTTCCCAAGTTTAGTCGTGTCGCAGGTAGTTCAAGAAATACCAGTAGGTGAGAGAAAACCCACCTCACCATCCAGGCCCACGGGAACCAACCCCCCCCCTCCCGTCCCGACAGAAGCTGTCCTCGTGGGGCCCTGTGACCCCCTGAGCCGGGCGAGAATAACTACTCATCCTCCCCACAAGAGGCTGCCCCGGCAACCCCTGTTCCGGTAGAGGCTGTACTGTCCTCATCTGCTCATCAACATTTCCACCCTCCTGCAAACTGGCCTAATTTCTGGGAGTCCTTGGCTCAGACAGCCACCTTCTTCCCTCAAACATCAACTCTCACTCTCACAGGAAGAACAGAAACACCGTCCAGGAGAGCTGATGGGAACGACACGGCTGAAATAAGCCTTCCACGGGGGGGGCGTCATCCGCCCAAGAGAAGGGGACCGTTCTCTGCCCTTGACACAAAACCAGAGCTGCAGTGACATCCCAGGGCAGTTCAGGATCGCGGGGAGCCTGCCAGTGACCAGCGGCCGGTGGGGTCCCCCGAAGGCCCCTCCGACACCTGCTGTGCGCATTCTGTGCCAACCGTCAGCTGTCCCTGGTGGGCCTGACACAGATTAACTCAGACACTACCTTTCAGGGAGCTTTGTCAGAGCGCCCAGGTGAGCAGTACATTTTATTTTGTGACCTTCAACAAGAGAAAGGACAGAAAATATGGGCATAACAGACGACACAGGAGCCAGCCCGTTCAGGAGAAGCTGTCACAGTCACTGCAGACGCACGGAGGGTATGGAGGTGAGGAGCAAATGCGGACGAGGCCGGTGTCCTCCTCCAGCAGCGAGACTAGTGGACAGAAGACCTGAGCAGCTGCCCATTCTGAGCTACGAGACCGTGTTTGGAAGCAGGACAAACCAACTGGTGACAGGCTCAGATCACAACTTCATCAATGACCTGGCCAGACAAGCCGCCCACCCTTCCTCCCACCTCTTTCTCTGGGAATAAAACCATGAGCCAGGACCCACTCTCTGTGGCCTCCCAGAGCTGGACGAAGCACTTGGGGTTCAAGCACGCAGGACATTAAACATCAAGGCACAAGAGTCCTGTCTAGTCACAGGTTACTTCAGAGCAATACAGGTACGAGCTGTGCCCAGCTCCAGGAACTTTAGGAAAGTGGTACCCGACTTCCAACCCAGCCTGCACACCTCTCGCCCGCCCTCAGCTTCCCACTCTCATAAGGGGGTCCCTCTGGCTATCTGCTCAGGTAGTGTCAGTCCTCAGGGTTTTCACCCTGGACTGGATGTGAGTGAAGAGCAGCAGCTCTTCAGCTCTTCACTAGTGGTCACTAGTGGGAGTGGGAACAGCCTGTGTCTCATCGGGAATGTTTCCTGCTCCCACTTCTGTTGTATCTTGAAGAAGGCAAGAAACAGGGGATGACCGTACAGGCTTGCAAAGGATAATGGTTCTTACATGGCTGAGGTTCCAAACCCAGTATATCAGGGACTAAAACTCAGGCATCTCTTAGGTCTTGCGGTTCTTACTCACATGCACTGTACAGGTGAGGGTTAAGGCTGTGCTACTCCATGAATAGGTGACTACCTGAGGCAGATGCCCCTCTCTGGTCAGAATGGACACTTTAGCCACTGGCCAAGACAACGCTAGATGAGAGCTACAATATGCCACCCCCACCAGGAGCCAGTACCCCTGGATGAGGAATCCAGAAGGCCCATCTGTAACTGCTTCGCCAGTGGGTGGGTCACCAAGAGCCAGGAAAATCAGTTCTCCAGAACAAGAATGGGACTCTAGGGAAACCAACAGAAAGCTGGGAAACATTAAGAGAATGTCTCCTAGAACAGTCGGGTGCTACACTAGTTAGGAGTGTGGCAAGCAGGCAGCCATGGGTTAATTCTTTATGGATTAAAAAGCTGGGTCTTGGCCCTCTCTGGTGGCTCAGCGGGTTAA